GTTGTTATATCAGTAGTTGTAGCACATTGTAATATCACAAGTTGTAATATCACATACTGTTCATATATAGTTATAATGCATACGTTATTAGTTACAACTATGTACGTTCTTAGTTATAACGTTCAAAGTTTGAGATCCAAAACATAACTAACACTCAGTCCTATCCCGTGGAGAACAGGATAAAATGACAGACCCTGACAGTTGTTAAAGGTGTTCAAAATAAATGTGTACTATGATGCCACGGACATCCGCTTTGATATCACACAATAACTAAATAACATTGTGTTGCTATTTATATCACACAATAACTAAATATGTTTACATACATACACATTTAAACGTTATACCCACCATCTGCCATCCAAATTTATACCTCTTTGTTATCTCCTCCTCCTCCCCAATATTTTGGCAGACCATCGTTCCTTTCCTCCATCCAAACAATAGTGGGTCTTAGCATAGTCATGCAACCAAATTTCGAAAGATCTCATGAAAGCTCACGATCAAAGGTTCGGAAAAAAAGACGGAAGGTATCGTCGGGTCCAACCAATGCTCTAAGGAGGTACGAAACACCAGATGGGAGAATTTTATATGGTACCAAATGCGATTTCAGGAAAGCTCCACTTAACACCAACAACTCTCTGGAACTAACTGGCCACATTTTCAAAGATAGTGTCCACGAGCACCTACCCTCTGGTAATTACATTATGGAACATGAACCCATATGGGAGCCTATTCGTGAGCGAAGAATGAAACTAGAGGTATTTTGTCGCTAGCATAGCCTCCGCGTCCCGAGAACACGCTCGGCGGAACTTGTTATAGGACCAGAAGTGAATGATGCAAGCGTAGTACATAGACTACAGTGAGAAGTGATGCAAATAGAGCGCCGGCTACACAGGTTTCACGAGATTGAGGCCGCAAAAAGACATGCTATTGCAAAAGATTTTGCTGTCAATAACATTTTAGCAGATCCCATGCTTATATCCGACCCGGACCTATCTGACTTTACTGAATTAAGCGACGATGACTTTCAGAGGTACATACCCGATTGTCTAATACATGACGGCATTCCCAGGTGTTGTATGGCATACGACAGATGACAAGAGATGTAGTGAGAACCCGTAATTTTCTCATTTTCTAGGTTTTATTCTCTGTATTGGCATGTTTTTGGCCTTTTCTTTATTAGGAAAATTTTTTTGATAATTTTTATGAGTAAATATAGGTTTTAGATGATTTTTCTAGTATCGGTTAGTTTTTGAGAAATTAAGAGCGTATACTGGACGTGGGACCCGCTAGTGCGGAAAGTTCGGAAAAATTCGGCCAACTAGGTTAAGTTTTGGATACTGGGTTTAAATTATCGGGTGCTAAGAGATAATTAGAGATTACCAAGTGGATTGGTGTGAGAGGAAACAAAGTGATATGCATGCATTAAATAGGGTGACAAGTGTCACCATATGATTAAATCTTGCATTTTGACTACTATTCACCTTTTTACCATTTTACTAAATAAACCAAAAAATTGACCAAAAACTCTTCATTTCCAAGCTTCTTGTGGCCGGCCACTCCAAACAAAAAGAAAGGGAAAAGTTCTCCAAATTCTTGCTCCAATCTTGCTCAAATTCAACACACCAACCGTTTAATCTTGCTTTTACTCCATAAAAACCCTAAAGTGAGTGGGTGTGAGGTGGTTAGTGAAGTTGTTTGGAAGCTTAAGGTGCTAAGTGGTCTCTTTTCTTTGGTTACTAAGGTGAGTAGTGAAGGAACCCCTCTCATCTATCTAATGATGTTTAATTAATGACTTGTGGTAGCCTAAGGGATGAGATTAGGTGTTATTTCATGATTTTGGTTGAGATTGATGACATTTTCTATTTAATCATGATTTTTCTGATTTAATATGATTCATATGTTGTGGCCATGGATGATGATTGGAAATGATCTGGAATGAAACCTTAGTGTGTCAATTGTAGTTATTTGCGGAAAATTTCCGCATTGAACGGAAATTTCGGAAGTTAGGGTTTCGATTACCCCCTTTCTGCCTGGTACTGTTCATCATAGTTAGAGGCCGAATTAGCCTTGGGTTAAAACATGAAAGTTGTAGGGAATGATATTTTAGAGATTCCTGAAAAATTTCAGGCTAATCGGAGTAGCGTAGCTTATAAAAAGACTGAAATACCCTTGCTGCCCTGTTTCTACCCAAACTTAATAATTGCTTCTGTAATTGGTTAATTTGATTGAGAATACTTCTGATTTGGTTGTTAATGTCTTCTTAATAAATGTATCCTGGTGTCTTAGTTTTTGGATGGCTTTGGAATCACTTGATTTGGACTTAGGTAACCTGAATTGCGGTTCGTTAACCAGAATGCGGTTTGTTCACCTATTTTTGCGGTTCTGGTTTAGTATACTGAACTTTTGACCTAGTTTCACTACAAACTGGGCTGAGTGACCTTCTATAACATTGTAGCCCTATCTGTTAGCTTCGAAATGGTGTATATTTCACCTCCATCCGATAATCGTAGTGCCAATGGTGGCAAAACCGCTAAATGATGTCAAAAACTATTTTTTGGGGTTTAGAACTCAACTTCATTCCCGGATTCCCCTAGCTTACTTTAGTACTTATACATTCTAATGGAACCTTATTTTGGTAGTATGTGAAATTGGTTTATGACTTGTAATCGAGTCTTATTGTGCTTATTTGAATATTTTAGGGCGTGACGGTGAGTAAAGACGCTCTTTGGGCGGAAGTTTACGAAATTTCACTTGCTTGCTTGGTGAGTGTACTACTCACTTGCTTGTTACTGTGTGGCTTTGTCTATTTGAACTGGATGCCTTGAATGCTTATTTGCACTGTTGAAACTGATTAAAGTGAGGGTGTACTTGACCGCTCTCACCCCTTTTGTATTATATATGACTGTTTACCGTGAAATTGAATGATACATGCAAATACTTGAATTGGTGTCGTATGGACGAGTATCCAACGGCCTTACTGTTATCACTGAGCTCAACCCTATTGGTGGTCAATTGAATCGAGCCGGCAAGGGTTTGGTCGTGAAAATTGACGAGCCATGGGGACTGTTATATGGAATCTTGTAGTATGAGACTCTCGATTCCGGTATACTCGAGTATTACCAAATTTGTACTGTATGGAGTTCGGGCCCGGTAGGGGTATGTTGGGTGAAAGGAATGGAAGTAAAGTGGAGCCTATGGTTGGTTACTCGAAAACATTGACGAAGGGTCAATGAAGTCCGATCAAGTATACAAGCAAGGAAAGGGGCTCTTGAGAGCCGTCTGTATCCTTTTACCAACTTTATTGATGTGTACTCTTGGCTTACTTTTATTAGATGAATTGGAATGAAATGCTATCTGCTTATATGATCTTCGTTGCTTGAGTGGTAGTGTCTCACTGGGCGTAAACTCACTCTATTCCTTTTGTTTTCCTTACAGGATTTTGAATACTTTCGGAAAGGCTATGAATGTTGGTTGCCGAGTTGAGCTTATGTGAATGTAATTTGAATAGCTCCTTTTGGGCAAAACCCTAAATGTATTTTGATCCAATTATCTCCCTTTTGTATTTGTAAATTTACAAACGTATGTGTATAACACTGTTTAAATATCGTTTATGTGTCCTATTTAGTTGGGAATGTTTTTCCGAGTTATATGACATGGCACCCACTATTCACCGACGATTTGATTTGCATTTTGCTATTTTGCGATTTCGGCTTGTGTGAGCGCATATTATTTTTCTGAAACGTCTTAGATCGTGTTTGCCTGCACCGTTAGTCCTGGCGAGAGTTGGGCAGGCAGTCCGCTAATCTTTTTGGTTCGCCTTAGGGGAAAGTGGGGCTGTCACAGATGTAGTCGGATGTTCGTGAAGGTAGCAAGACAAAGTTTAATCATTATAATCTCCACTTTAACTTTTTGCCCCCTATTTGCATATTAATCATGCCTATTAAAGATCCTTGTACTAGTTCTAACCTATTGTAACATACAACTAATTGCTTGTAACTCATTCTGTACTCTTCGTTATGAATATTTGTTGCATTATAAAACTTAGTTTTGACAAACGAAATTAGTTGTCCCCTCACACTATCATTTTCTTCTGCGCAACTATTACCTTATTGTGGTCGCGTGGTTATTTGATCATAATTAAATTAGGAAGATTCTTGTAATACCTATTGAAATGCCTGTAATACATTATGTCAATGGTGCGAACCGTTCATTCTGAAAATGTAACCCATATGTAGTGAATTATGAAAAATTTTTGGTGACTAAATGACACATAATAATTCACCAAGGCGTCGTAACAAAATAATAACAATTTGTTAAGGCCGATTGCTATATGATACATATAACCATTCTAAGTGCCATCCATGCCAATAAAGATGTTATTTACAATTGGAGCTGACTGTTGGACAATACTATATATATCACGACAGCCATTTGTTATGGTATTCTATGAAAAATACCATAATCATAAAGAAGAACGTTCAATCGTATTGCAAAAATTGTTACTCTAATTTTCGGTCGACTTTATAATTTCTTAACAACTTATACAACCCATTACAGAACAATTGATGACTACTAATACTGAAAATTAATACAATTGTAACCCACTTGTCTAAGTTTGAACAGAGTGAAACATTGAAGGTCCCTGTACAGGCACATGAATAACTTGTAACAGCTTATTAAGTGCTTGTAACGTAGATATGCAGCATTCCCAACATTGCCGACATGGAGGTCCAATAACAAATGTTCGTCGAAAAACACCGCAAATCTCGTTCAGGACAACTAATGTATGAAAATAAAAAAAAATCTAGTCAGTTACAGTCAACATGCACTAATTCATTTCAAAATTGTAGATTAAAAGAAACTGACAATATGGAAGCGATTGAAACTGAACAATATCTTCAACAGAGAAGTACTAACATCAATAAATGAGGTTGACTTGGTGAATGAATAATTGGAACTCAATAGTTTGGTCAACCACTTAATGTGTCATTAAAAAATTAGACGTACACATCATTCATCAACCTACTTCTGCGGGGGGCGACGCCAACAGCTAGTTGCAAACTCTGGGTGTTGTTTATTTCCTGAAATGCATAACGATGGCAAATCAGCCAATACACCTAATGGAACATACGATTAATAATATACGGTGTCCAAGTATCCAATTAACAATACTACATAAACATGTGATGTAACGATAAAAGTTTGTCACCTGTGGTGATGGTGAAAATACATGATATGCATCAATGTCACGGTGTATTGAAATTGCCGCACGCTCCTCCTACATTATATAATATAACTATTCAACTATCAACAAATCATTACCAGTGCCTATATTGCTCACTTCAAAAGCTAAATTGGACAAGACAATATAAAAAAAAATGATATATCAGACCATTAAGATATCTCTGACGGAGTTATGCTTGGAAAAAATAGAAAATTTAGGGTGGATCCATTCTGTAGGGGACTGTTGCAGGAAGCCCCTGATTAGGCAACCGGAGGACCTTCGGATAATACAAAATAATTTGTTATAGAAGCGATCATACGTTAACTACATAATAGACATGCTTTGAAGCGTTTAGGTGCCCACCATTACAATAAGCAAAAAAGTAGTTGTACGATACGAATAACAAAGTCTTTATTTTTCCTACTAAATGTATGCATACCATTTCACTTTCCTCGATTTCGGGAGCAACAGCGTTTGGAGAGCCATTCACCGACTGGCTCCTTGAATGCGTCTATGAGTTTAGAATGGTCAAATAATTGTATAAGACAAACAAAATAGGTATATCAGGAGGGATGACGGGCGTAACAAAATTATCACATAATGTAACATCGATGTAACTAATTATGCTATTAGAAACATCTAAATAAAAGCTAAAGCCATGACCATTTTATACTAACCGAAACAGAGTCAGTAGATGAACGGCATCCCAAAAACATGTGTTCATCAAATTCAAGTGACGTCGGCTCCGATTCTGAGACCTGTATTATTGACACGACAATAATGTTACTTCATAGTGAATGGTACCTAAACTTGAGTTAACGGAAATATAATAAGAATGTTTTATCATAAATGTTTACCATAAAAAAAAATGGATCCATACCGTAGTCTGTGTAGTCCTTGACAATCTAGAATTTCTTTTTACTCTGTCAAATTTATCGACACAACTTCGCATCACTCTATTTCTCTTCCCACCGGCTCGTTTTTTAATGCCTCTTGCGACTACTACCTCTCCCATTTCATTTACAATTTCAATTTTATCACGTTCCTCTACATTCAGATTTTTATGATTTTGCGAAGGTTGCTCTTCATTTTCTGAGAGGAGGAGCTCAACTCTCTTTGCCAAAACGGATATGACGGTGATTACTACTTTGCTGGTGTCCTCCGACATTGCTGCTCGAGTTGCGACCTTAATCATGGCTGGAGCGAGTTCCCGATAACGAGTTGAAATGATTGCTTTTGGATCAGCCATAATTTCCCGTCCTCGCCGATCAAAACAGTCTCCAGTCCGAGCTCTTTTTGTCCATCGCCTCTTAACGTATTCAGGAGGAATTGTCTTTATGCCCACGGTATCAAATACCTTCAACGCGTGCCCACACAAAATTCCTTCATTCTCGTATTTTTTGCAACTACAGCGTACACTTAGATCATTCCTATTGAATACCACTATTCTTTCAGGTCCTCCATCATATCTCATGACAGCAAACTCCACAAACATCCCTGCATTTTGTCATTTCAATATAACCATAGCTGTGGACTCGCCATATTCATTTTGGAATGCAACAAATACGGTTGGTGAATATGTATCTGCAGCATGCACAAGCATAGGTGTTTGCCTCAACCCAACCATGGGGAGCTTTTGCCTCATTTCATATTCTACGATGAGTTCATTATGTCTCTTATCATCAACCACCCGATTGAAATGTCTAAAGAACTGCACAAGGTCGTGATCCAGTTTCAAATAATTTTTAATTGCTGCATTTAGGCTTTCGCTAAGTTGGATGCTTTGTATTCCCGCGGTCCATCTTTCTTTCATCATACACCTTGCCCACTTATCACGAATTCGATACAGCCCGGAAAGCCATTCATTATTTTCAAGATTGTGTTTCTTCACCATCGCCTCCCACACCCTGTTGAATTGTTCAACTTCTTCAATCTCATACATGCAGGCACCAAACATGTATGGAAGGTCACTACTTTCCTTGTAGTGATTGCCAAGATGTTTCATAAAATTACGTCTTATATGAAACGTACATAGACCGTGAAACGTTTGGGGCATGACAAGTGAAAAAGCGGCTGCCATGGCGTGATCTTGGTCTGTTAGTATGGTGCTTGGACGCTTTCTGCACATTGCTTCTAGAAATGTACCAAACACCCATTTGAAAGAATCTATCGTCTCATCATACATAAGGGCAGCACCGAATATCACAATTTGCCTATGTTGGTTAAAACCCACAAATACTCCAAGTGGCCGGTATTCTTTATTTGTTTTGTAGGTTGTGTCGAATGTGACTACGTCTCCAAAAAAGTTGTAGTTAATTAACATTCCTGCATCAGCCCAAAAGATATTCGTTATCTGTTCTTCACAGTCCAGCTGTACGGCATGAAAAAAGGATGGATTCTCAAGTGTTTGCTCTTGAAAATAATTCAGCATACTATCTGCTTCTCCATATTTCAAGCTCCTTTCCCATCTCGTTCGAAGATATCGTTTAAGATTATCCCGAGTATATCCCACATTGCTCATCCCACCTGCCTCCTTTCCCATAAGCTCATGGCTCTGTTTCAATGAAATCCCAGCATCTTCGCTTATTTCAGCTTGGAATCCTTGAGCCACACTCACTTTTCTTTGTGATGGTATCATGTGCGCACATTGAGCAATGTGCAACTCATGGTTATGCTCTAAAACAAGGTCATGCACACGGTACTTCATTGTCCCTCTAAGCAACACGATAACCATTTTAGCTCCATACCCTGTTTTCGTCGGCACTCGTGTCCTCTTTGGCATCACATCACCTTCGTACTTGCGCTTCACACCTTCCTTGCAGCAACTATATCTCCTAGACGTGGTCACGCCGTCTTTGTCATTATTTAGATAGTCTTTACGTACACTAAAACTCATTTTAAAGGCATACTTGTTGTAAAACTTCTATGCATCCTCTTCACTGCTGAACTCCATTCCTAACTCAGGAGTCCCATCTTCTGCCAATTTGCTGCAATCCATTACTTCTGCTCCTACCAATTATGCATCAAACACCCTAATTTGCAACACTTCATGAATAGTATGTACATAAATGACAACATAAATGTATATTACCATTCATAATGTGTTATGAATCACACATTACTCGTATACTAAATCCTATTATTACGCTTATCAATATGATTAATGATTCACATCACCTTACTTTTACTCTAAGACAACGGCATTATCTATGTACAAATACAACTCCATGTACAATAACTTATACGGACCGTAATGTATTGATCACACGATGTAAGTCTATTTTAACTGTATGTACATCCATGCTGGTGATTATATTTTGATTCTAGGTTCTTTAGCTCACTGGACCTTATATTTTGATTCGTTAATGAATACCGCATAAGCCAACTCCGCATTTTCTACTATTTCTACATTTTGAGGGCCAAACAAGCACTTTCTACTCATTGTAATATATTTCTTACATCATGTAATTTACTTATAACACAAGGTTCACCAATTTATTATTCACATATATGTCTTTTCCTCTGTTTCACCTCATTCAACTCTACGCCTCCATTTTATACACACTGCATGGTCAGGAGAGGGGCAAACTAATATTGCCCTATGAGCATGGACCAACTATTAGATGCACAATGATTCATATCAATTGTAATACGGTGGCTATAACATGTAACTAATTTACAACAGGATGTACATTCATTCACTTGTTAAATATGACTTTGTTTCTCTCATCTTTCCCTAATTCCGTTCGACGGTTTACTTGAATACATACCCCTAGGTCTTCCAAAAACTACTATCCCATTATAGTCCATCACCGAAAAGCTGAATGCTCACACACACACAGATACGGTACACACATACAAATACAGTACAACTTCACTATTCTTCTATCATTTTCATATTATGTTTTCAGTGACTCTAATTTCATCCTTTATTTAACAGATATGCATTTGGGTGACAAATTATTGGTCACAATTACTGACATGGTTTAGTCACGTTACCTTGGTCTGCTATGTGACGACCCCACTTCTCCCAAGGGCGAACCCAAGGGTATCGGCGGGCCGCCTGCCTAGCTCGCGCCAGGACTCAAACCTTAAAGCGATAAAAACCAGAAAATCCAAAAGAGTACCTTACATACTATATACAAATCCCAAAAAGGTTATAATTACATTCTCCAAAAGTACCTGTTCAAACTATTACACCCTTATAATTACAACCAAAACTAAAAGGTAGACCCTAAGGAGGGTCCTTATACAAACCACCACAATAAAAACAAACATCCTAATTGTCCAACTATGACAAACCAATACTAGTGTAAGTGCCCATAAGTCCCCGCGTCGGCCCCTGCTAAGGAAAACAAAAGGAACGGGGTAAGCTATATGCTTAGTAAGTAAACAGGGGCAAAAGCGTAAATGTCACGTAACCACAGTTACTCAATAAGAGTAAAGCAAAAGCAGAAAAGTAACATCACATAATAAGGATACAGGTGGCTCCAAAGCCAAGTCGTTGCCATGCGTGACCTCCTGTCGACACTCCGTCGACCATACATAAGGTCCGTAGAACTCCACTTGTACACCCACCGAACACCTTATCACCCTCACTGGCCAGTCACCTCACAAACTTGCCCAGGCGAACGAAATCACAAACTTGAGCTTGAGTCACAAGCTCGGGTCACAAAATTGGTTCACATACTCAGCGAACCGGGTTCACAAACTTGGTGACCTCAAACCAAGTTGGACTGACTTCGACCAAGCCCTAACCGGCTCGAATAGTCCATCTAGGTATTGAGTTCAACCTCAAACTCACAAAATTCACAAAATTATTCAAAAGTCACCCTGAGCCACCAGCTCAAGGGTTTTAGTTCCAAAATTGCTCATATACATAAGCCATGTACAAATATGTGTGCAAATTAGGGTTTAGAGCGAGTGCGATAAAGTACACCCTCGTCTAAGTACCCTCTTCATACATATCGAAACACATAAGCAACTAACATACAAAAGCGGCCTGAATACTTACTCCAAATACAAAAGTAGTACAAAAGCGGAAATCACTTCGTTGGTTGGCTAGTAGTGGGCCCCACCGGTTTCGCCTAGTTCACCACCGTCTGAAATCGAAGATTGTGTCACAATATATCACAAACAGCTACTCACACACGTAAAACAAGCAAAACGGCAAAATTGGCACGCGCAAGTGCGAAAACGGCAAAAAGGGGCACACGCGCGCGCGCGGAACGGCAAACGGGACGGCCAAATCGGCCATCTTAAACCGTTTTGGTCGAAAGTTAGGCTAGGAGTGTCGGATCAAGGTGAACGAGATACCGTTTCGAAGCTAAGAGGAAGGGCTAAAATTCTCATGAAGACATCTCAACCCAGATCTCAATAGGTATAGGTCAAAAAGGCACGAAATAGTGCCAGCTGTTTCATGGCAAGTTACCAAACATGCCCTGTTTGCAAGGCCGTAACTCACGGCTCAGAAATCGAAATCAAGAAATTCCAAAGGCGTTAGAAAGCTGAGACATAAGGCTAAAACTTTGATGTTTTGGTCAAGACCTGAATCCACTCAGAACAGAACGAATATCGAGTGTCAACGTACCCGTCAGAACTGTCCAAATACAAGGCAGTTCTGACCAGCGTTATTGTTTTGATCATAACAGGAGCTACGGAACTCGGTTGTCGACGTACTTTATACCGTTTCGAAGCTGAGACCAAGATATAAATTTCTTATGAAGGAGTCGACACCCAGATCGTATGGAATCAGAACGGAAAAATGCACGGCAGAAACTGAAATGCAAAACGTACAAAACGGACGTCTAAAACAGGTCTGAGGGTTTTGTCTATAACTCGGAATACATTAATCCGTTTGACCTGAAATTTTACAGGCACCTATAAAATGTCATTTCCTACAACTTTCATGTTTTAAGCCAAGGCCAATTCGGCCTCTATCTAGGACCAAAATATTCGGACAGAATGAAGAACCAAGAAACCCCAATTTTCCAGATTTCATTCAAAACAGAAATCACTTGCAATCTTCCACTTTTTCCACCATCTAGCATCATTACATACCATTTCCAACCATCATATATAACCACACAATCATGCTTATATTAAAACAGGAAAAATCCCAATAAATATAAAACTTCACTAAATCATCCACAAATCAAGATATAAACCATAATTTTTCATCTCTTAACACCACTAAGCATGAATTAAGCTTCATTAGGTGAAGGAGAGAGTTCATTCATTACTCACCTAGTAAAACAAGAGAGAGGGAGTTGCTTGTCACCTTAGCTTCCACAAACACTTCACCAATCAACTTACTAATACCAAATGAAGAGGTTTTATGGAAGGAATTCAAGATTAACCGGTTAGTTTATGAGATTGAGCAAGATTAGGACAAGGAATTGAGAGAGATTTTTCTTTCTTCCTTTGGAGAGAATTTCGGCCAAGAGAGAGAAAAGAATGAGGAAGATTAAGCTTCATTTGTCTTATAAGAAGGTTGGAAAAAAATAAGAATTAATTCTAGCCACAAGTTTGGTTAACACTTGGTTGAATCACAACCACACAATTTTCTCTCTCTTGTTGCATTTTGAACCACTAATTTTCGGCCAATAAGAAGCTAAGAGGGGGGAAGATATTTTGCTCTATTAGTGGTAAACTTGCATGGCAAGTAAGTGGTGGTCAATTGGTGCGTTCAATCGGTAATGCGCGGGACCCGCCGGTTCGCGCCGTTTTTTCTTAAAACACACGTACTAGGGTTTTTACTTCCTATTCACTAATCTTATCTTATTGCTCCTAATTACATATTATTTCTCACTTAAAAGTCACTTTTAATCACCAAATTTGATCCTTTTTCCGTACCAAAATTTCATCCGGCGAAAATCACAAAAACCCTAATTTTGCTCCAATGCTGAAACCGAAGAGTGAAACCCTACTTTCTAGGCTCACTTGCACTTATTATGGAATAATTGGATAGTAGGGCTTTAAATCTTAATCCCTACATAGGGTTTTCGAAATACTCCTAAAACCAAACGTTACCGCCCAGCTAATGAATATATCAACGTAGAACGGACTGGGGCCTCACAATCTCCCCCACTTAGAACAATTTCGTCCTCGAAATTTTTCTATGAACGGAACCTATCGAATCTAAAGTAACCAGTGGCCTGTACCTTCTTCATCCTCAGAAGAAACGAGGCTTTTCATTCCAGTCCCTTCTCTATTTGACGGTCCAGGGTCGGTCTGGGTTGGCTGCTGGGTTCCTTTCTTTTCACGCAATAAACTAGGGCAATTAGCAATCCGATGCTCGGTGCTCCCGCAACGCAGACACCTTCCATCCTTTTTCCAGCAATCCACCTCCATATGGTTGGATTTTCTACAGTAGCCACAAAATGAGAGAGCGATTGGGGTCTGATCCTCTTGTGAGACATCATGCAGTGGTCCTTCTCCACTTGGGTTTCCTCCCGGAGTATCCTCCTTAAGTGTCTCCAAAATTTTCACACCCCTTACTCCACGACCCTTCTTAGCGACTGGCCTACCTCGCTTACACTGTTCTGGCCTTTTACCTCTTTTCTTTGCATGGAAGATATTTACTTGTGGCCTTGCAATTCCTGTCCTTTGAGCTTCCTCTGGAAACCCCATAGCAGTAGTGTTTTGTGCCATTGTTAAGGCCTCCTCAGAAATCCCTTCGTATTTCCTTTTTAGCTCCAAGTTCTGGTGCAAGAGCTCAATCTTTTCTGAATACTCGTGCTTCCATCGCCCTTCCCAGTATGCGGCTAGTCTCCTTTGGACCTCTATTTCGTCTCGAAGAACTGCGATTTCCTTATACATCTCGACCCAATGTGCCATCTCACGGAGTTGCTGGACCTTCGATAGTAGCCTGCTGGCCAAAACAATGGGTCATAA